CGATCGCCACAACAACGATGACGTTATTTAATTAATATAATTTTGCGGGGTTGTTGTTTTTTTAATTTGCACCGGAAAATATCTTTGCATTTTGAAATAACAGATTTGTTTAATCGCTCAACGAAAAGATCGATTATCGATCGAGAACTCGCTCTTCGACCGTGAGACAAAAACAATGTTATAAGATTTTCTAATGTATGGAAAACGGAGAGCGCTTTTCGTTGGGAAATCGAGGGAAATCGCACGTTCGCAACGCGTTTGAACGCCGCTGTATATCTCGCGAAGTCGAATTACAAACTATCGAACGTGAAATATCGCGACATTCTTGACGCGGTCGGATGACTACGCGTACAAGTCCTTCGCTATTATGCGTAGTTACATCACGCCGCGTTATAAATAGCGACCTCACGACGACGCGGCGCAACGCCGCTGATAAGCAGGATCCGGAATGGCCGCCACACGCAGCTGCATCGTAATCATTCGATAAAACGTTATCGATTCCACATGACGTCTGCAAACATGTTTGCGGAAACTGCATTGACGATATTCGCCTTCTTGATGTTCGGACACCTGTTCTCGCGCACCTGAACCTTTCGCGTCATGCGACGATAAAACAAAAAAAAAGAAGAAGAAGAAGAAGCGCGTATCGATAATGAAGCGCATTCCGTTCGAAACTCGCGCAAGTGTGAAGGAACAGAATAATGTCACAAAGTTTTTGATTTCTATCAATTTTCTGGCACACACACTTCGTAACAATAAAAAAAAACAATGTATGTATATACGTGTACGCGTTCGAAACTGCGTCCTTTTATTTCGCTCAATTTGTTAGCGAATCGTATTAATTTCAGCGTGAAATCCGAGTAAAATTAATTAAATTGAGGTCACGCAAAGAGAAGTCTCTCGTACGCTTTTGTAACACGAGAGTCACTTATCGCGCGAGTTCTCGTGGTTATTGAAGCGTCGCGGTGAACCGCGAAGTCCTCCGTAGATAAAAATGACAGACGTATAGGATATAATTGAAAAATGATTATTTCGCTCGGTGCGCTTCAATTATCTAACAAGCGAGCGGCACGCAAATACGCGTTCTTTCTACTAATCGCGTATTAATACATCTCCTCGAGTTGTGTATATCTTCGAAGTTTGATCTTACAATAAAATCTTGCGTAACGTGTGTGTGTGCGTATGGTTTTTTTTTTTTCCATATTATACACAGACTTGGAATCTCGCGATGTGAGATTTCTTTTCGCTAGCGCGCTCCATTGTTTCGCTCGACATGCAAATAACAATTTATTTGTCGCGTACACACACACACACACACACACACACACACACGCATACACGTCTGAGGAATGTGAGATGCACGACGATACGTACGATAGGCGATGACACAAATAAGCACGAACACCACTTACAGGTCTAATGTTAGGTAATTGACGTAATCGTTTATAATAGGTCATGCTATAAATAAAAAAGCTTTATTCATACGCGCATATTGCGCTTTTCCATTGTCGCGGAATTTATTTATCGCCACGTCGGATTTAAAATAAATCCACAACGTAAAACTTTAATTATATAGATGTATAATATTTATTAATAACTTGATTTTCCGCGCACGAGATGCAATAACAAATAACCGCGCGTGGAAACTCAGGTAGCAGTTTCTTTCGCGGCTCCGATAATTTGATCTCTTCGCCCCTTCGGTCCTCTTTCTTTCCTGATCTTTGACAAGCTTACACAGTTCTCGAAAACGAGAAATTACATACAACGCGTTCTTTTTGTCTCCGGGAAAAAAAACTCAGAGTATTGTATTATACTAATTAATTAATTATTTACAGACAAAGCGGAGTCGAAACGCGAGTTTTTCGGCGCAAATTTTTTCTCGCGCAATTTACATAACTCGCCGCGACACACCGCGAGATAGCGGGGACAATCATTGCCGCGGCGTGACTCGAAGAAGTAGGTTTCTGGAGCAGAGAGAAAGAGAGAGAGAGAGAGAGAGAGAGAGAGCTCGGGCGCTTCTCCACTTCTTTGTACGCGCTTCGAAGTTCGCAAAGAAGCGAAACGATGAAACAACCCAAGACTGCTACATGTTGTAAGTGTTACGCGCATGCAACAGGCGGTGCAACGCGTCAATTCGATATTCTTGCGACTCGTTCAGAATTTTTTCTCAAGTCTCGTTTCTTTTTTCTCGATCTCAATTTTTTTTTCTAACAATGTATGCTTTAATAAATAGAGAATTACCTCCGATGATAGAAATCTCTCTCTCTCTCTCTCTCTCTCTCTCTCTCTCTCTCTCTCTCTCTCTCTCTCTCTNTCTCTCTCTCTCTCTCTCTCTCTTTCTCTAATTTAAACCAAATTTATCCAAGACCAATATTTTCAAATGAGCCTGTAAGTATCTCTAAGACAAAACATTTTAAAGACAATTTGTTACTTCTTGAAGAATATTGATTCTTTTAATGATGCCGAAGATTACGAGAGACTCGTATCCGGCAAAGAGACGGGAAATTTTTTCTTCTCGACACTGGAAAAATATGCGCGATCGAAATTAACTTCGGATTTTTGTCGCGGACGCTGCGCAAGTGCGGATCGTTCGCGGAGAGCGTTGCAAGAAACGGGACGTCGTGACTGTGTGAAAAAAATCTCGGGCGATGACAGGCGCGTAACAATGCAGATTATATATTGTGTGTGTATACAGGGTGTCCCAGAATTGGTTTAACATCTCTCGTAGGCAGGTAGAAGGAATAAAACTGAGGAGAAAAGTCCTATACCATTTTGCTAGATTCGCAATAGTTACTGAGATTTTAATTAACAAAGATTCGCGAATAAGCATGCATTGGGCTGTCTTACGCGCGTAAGACTGCCCGCCGCGCTTCGCGCGCTAACGGTGTTACCCATAGCGACATATGGGAGGAGCTAATATAACAGCATATACTATAACATATACATATTAAAATGTAATTGTGTGAAGCGCGCCGGGTTGTCCTACGCGCGTAAGACAGCCCGATGCACGCTTATTCGCGGATCTTTGTTAATTAAAATCTCGGTAACTATTGCGAATCTAGCAAAATGGTATAAAACTTTTCACCTCAGTTTTATTCCTTCTACCTGTCTACGAGAGATGTTAAACCAATTCTGGGACACCCTGTATACATACATATGTATGTACACGATCACGTTCGTGTTCTTACGCAAGGACTCTCGCAACCACGTGCACCGTCGATCCCGGTGTACCCCGAGTGGGCGATAAAAAGCCCTGTGGTCAAGACACCGCGCGGACACGTGCGAATATTCCCGGGGGCAGAGCCGCCGCGGCGATTCCCAAGCGCGCATCAAGTTGTTGCCGCTCCGTACACGACGGAGGCGCGTGACCGTTCCGCCGTCGCGAAACGGTTCTCGTGAAAACAGACACGACACGCGATGACGCACGTGAAGTGAGCGCGCGCGTCTATTTGCGCAAGAAATCTATGAACACAGCGGTCTTCGTAACTTATACTTACGATCGACGGCTCTCTGTCCCCTCATAAAACCCCTCCGATTTCGAAGTTTCGAAGATATATTAACGATTTGGCACGACGCGTGTGCAATTAGCATGTAATTGCGCGCAATAAGCCCACACTGCCATTATCCGAGTGCCTTCCCCCCTCTTTCCCTCCCTTCTTCTTATCTGGATTCCGAACAATGTGAACTGAACACACCGCGAGGAGAGACCTTTGCGGAGTTACGTCTTACTCAATTCGTACACGAGCGAGCTCGGTCTGGCGAGCAAGCGAGATGTCGTAACGACAGCCGCAAACGAGCTGCATTATCGTTAACGGTAAAACTGACGACAGAAATGTTCACCGCTGGAATCTAAAATTAATTCCGATTATCTTTCTCTTTCTCTGCCGCGTGTCGAGAAAATTCGCCATCGTAAAATAATCGCGGAACGTTTCCCGCGTGGACACTGGCTCCGCGAAGTGACGCGAGCTGCGTCATCATAAAAAATAGAAAAAAAAAAAAAAAAACATGTGTATATTTTAATATTTTTTGTTTACTGTACCGCTTGGTTTCTTCACGTGCGACTTGGTTTCGCGCGCTATAAGACGCACGTTATTTATAAACTCTGGCGCGAATGTACCGTCTCAAACAGAAAAAATTAATTCCGCGCGACATAATAGCACTTCCATGTTACACATCTGTATACATTGAATACGCGCATATCTCTGAGACAGAAAAAAAAAGAGAGAAAGAGAGAGAGAGAGAGAGAGCGTCGTTACATCGCCGACAATCTTATCTAAGTATTTGCTCGTCATTGTGGGATTTCGAGTCCCGCTCGGTCGTCTCACCTTACAAGGTAAATTCTGATTTCGATTTGATCGACGTTACCTAATCGAAAATTCCGATGTAGGATAAAATACCTGATGAGATTGGCACTTTAAGGACTTGTCAATTTTTTTTTTTACAAGTACCGACTAAAAAACTTCACAAAATAATATCGCCAAAAACATCCAAATTAATTCTACTACAATGTCAAGTAATCATAGACAAAAATGGTAACAATTAGAAAACAATTAATAAGTGCCAGTCATTGGAGGAATGCTGAATATAGATTCGTGGATAGATTACACGAGTTTATGATCACATATCTTGTCGCGTATATAACGTGCATAGACGCACACGTGATATTGACTTATCATCGTCGTAAAGAAAAAAGAAAAATATGTTTGTGATGATATTAATGGATATAATCTGCCTCTCTCTCTCTCTCTCTCTCTCTTTCTTTCTTTCTTTTTTCGAGCTTAAACATTGTAAGAAAATGTTTAAATTGTAGGTTAAAAACTTTATTTTGATTCACACACACATATAACATACACACTAAATTTATACGATAATAGATTTGAATTAAGATTTAGATTAAATGTAAGTTTAGTAACATGTGTAAGAGATATGTGAGAAAAACGATGAAAAAAAAATGTAAAAACTTTCGATGTGAGAAAAATATAGAAAGAAAACGATTAGTGTGATTCTAAGATAAAATAAAATTTATCTCTATCATTTAAATTTACACACGTCTTAGAAGATTTAAGAGTAGACGTTATAAATAAGATAATATATATATATCAACAATAGAAAGATTATATTATACAATTTGATTCTTCTAACTTGATTTTTGCAGTCGTCGTTATTATCATTCTAATACACTTGATCCTTTGCGATGTCTTGATGTATATAAGTCTGACATTCATGACATAACGTCTGTCTACAAAGATACCTTTTTTTTTTTGTAAATGTAAGAAAATTCTTATTTGGCTGTCTTAAAATGTCAATCGTATATTGTGAAGTTTGAAAAAACTTTGCCACGTCTTACACATGAGCACAAACAAGATTCATAAATATATATATGTATATATATTATATACGCAATTTTACTTGTTCTTTTACTACATAGGTTCCCATTTGCCCCATAACTCTTCTTTGCAATTAGGATTGTTCCTTTTAGGTACATATCTAAAACAAATGGTTTACAAAGGTTATTAAGTTCAATTATTTGAGTTAAATAAATATACACACAATATGTATATACATATATAAAATACAAGACTTACCGAGGTATTTGATTGACTCGTTGTTGGTGTCGATCCCAATTATATTTACATGTTAGGTGATTGTATCTACATTTCTGCGCTCGATTTTTATAGTAATTTAACACATTTTGTTTCACTATTCTCTCCAACTCTGTTTCATATTGTTCATCTGGCATTCCGTAATTGAGGTCACGAAAAGCGTAGCGATTTCTGAGCATTTCTCGCTTCATATATGTCTCAACGTGCCTTAACGCATATGGAAATTCAGTATGTTCATCGTGCACTGTGCCGTCAGGATTTAATAAGTCGGGGAGACCTTCACTCTTTGCCCTATCGATTAGTCCTTGCCACTGCATAGCTGAAAGAAAAATCTAAGTTAAAAAAAAAAAAAATAGAACGCGCGCACGTAATATTTAGGAGAACTCTTCGATATATCTCAACAATCGGGATAAGCTAAATTTCGACTTCAATTCGAATAATAAACGAATAAGTTTTTATCGAGAGAGGCAACTTTTGCGTTCGCTCTATAAAAGTCGATTTATCGAATCTCAAAACTACTACACACAAATTTGAATTTTTATGGATAAAAAAAGAAAATATTCTTTTTTAGATATCTACAAGTTTTGAATATATTCCTAGAGATATATTCTTACTGCACTACAAACAAAATAATTGCGCAATCTCAAATTTGTCAAATTGAACAAATAGTTTTGTTTGTTTTTACTTGCGCTTATGATTACCCCCGGCGCTGTGTTGCCTTCATAGTCTCTTTCCATGCAAAATAAGATATCGCACTTTTCACATGCGACCAAGCAATCACATTCAGTTCCCAGTGGATAATGACATGAAGTAAAGTCTCCTGCAAGGTAAAAAATTTTATAGTAAAGACGATAAACTCGAAAAGTCAGTAAAAAATGATCAAGTCATCTCATGTCTGAGTATAGTAAGTAAAAAAAAAGAAAAAAATGAATAGTAAGAGTCGGATTTGCAAAGACACAAAAAAAAAAAAAAAAAAAAAAAAAAAAAAAGACAAAAAAAAAACCGAGCGTTTAAAAATTAAATTTATGGCATCAACAAAGACTTGTGACATGTATACTTTTCGTATATCCTTGCGCTGGAATGTCTTTCTCTTCTTCCTTTTCTAGTCCTAGTTTGTACAGTTCCTCTAGTTTCTTACACATATCGTTGTTACATCGCTCGCAATCTAAAAACAAACACGTATGTGTATCAGTTGAAGAAGCGTCGCGCGCATAACGTAACCGCGATCGAAATTAATTTTTATCTATTTCAAATATGAAATAGCCGAGCTCGTGGTGTTTGAATTTCAGAGACAAATAACAGCAAGAGATGAATTTTGACGTTGCAATTACGGAATACGAAGTGAGTGTGCATGCGTCTGCGAAAGAGAGAGAGAGAGAGAGAGAGAGAGAGAGAGAGAGAGAGAGAGAGAGAGAGAGTAACAAATTACGTAACAAACCTTTCGTTTTCTTCTTACTATCCATCTTCATACATTCGTAATATTTCTCGATATCATATGGCATCGAGTAGTCGAACCACATTTTCCTGAGTTCCTTGAATTTCTCATTCTTCAGTAAACCGTACTTTAAGTTTTCTATGTAAACCTCTCTGTTACTTCGTTTTACTGATTTTCGATTTTCTACTTCCGGGCTAAGTTCGACTGAAATAAAAATTGTACAACAATTGAACGACATGATCTTTTGTTAAAAAAATGCAACAGTTATCCAATTACTGAAAATAAATAAAACGATACGCGTGAATATATTTATCGGTTAAAAAGAATATAAACGGCGCGTATGTATAAGGATAGAATTGTCTCCTGTCCGAATTACGATATTTACGAAATTTTTTGACGAGTTTGAGCTCACCTTTTTTTTTTTCTTCTTCTTTTGGTGGATTTTGCATCATATCTATAAAATGTTCGTGCAGAAGTTTTAGATCCGGATAATCTGAAATAAAAATTGTATATATACGTAATAGTCAGACGATTGAAGTAATCTTCAGCTTTATCAAAACGCAACAGCTAACGTGTGTCCGATTGTTGAAAATAAATAAAACAATATGTTACGCAAATATTTGTCGGTTGAAAAGGATATAAACTACACACATGTAAATAGAAACATTACGTTTACTCATGTTCCCGAATTATTCAAATCTATTTGACGAAGCATTTTTAGACGAAGAATCACGCACAATTTCAAACCTTAATGTTGATTTTTTTGAAAGTTCTGGTTTTTAATTTAGATTTTTCTAAATTAAAAAAATTTAAAAAAATTAAAAATTACGCGTAATATAATTGAACAAAGTAATCTTGAACTTTATTAAGATGCAACAGCTAAAATCAAAGTCCGATTGTTGAAAATAAATGAAATATATATGGACCTGAATAATTATCGATTAAAAGAGATATATGTAATTAGAAACTTAATGTTTGTTGAAGTCTGACGTGTTATAATACTGTCATATCTATTGGACAATTTCAAGCTCACCTGGAGGGATATCACCTTCTACATCAATCGCTTCTCCCAAAATCTTTTTACGTACCTCTGAAATAAGAAATATATATCATAAAAATTAGTCAAGATAAGCTTAAGCTTTGCATTAAACTGAAACAACTAAAATCAAAGTCCAATTGTTGAAAGTAAATAAAACGATATGGACGCGAATAATTAGCGATTAAAAGAGATGTATGTAATTAGAAACTTANTGTTTGTTGAGGACTTAAGTGTTACAATATCGAAATATCTTAGACAATTTTGAACTCACCTGAAAAGGATGGCTTATCTTCCATTTCTACTTTTTTTTGCGAGGTACTTGCAGATTCATCTAAAATATAAAGTATATATAATAATAATTGGTCGAGATAAGCTTATAAGAGCTTTGCGTCAAATAAAAACAACTATAAAAATCAAATTCGATTGTTTAAATAAAACTATATGGACGCGAATAATTAGCAATTNAAAGAGATGTATGTAATTAGAAACTTAATGTTTGTTGAGGTCTGAAATGTTATAATACTGAAATATCTACTAGACAATTTTGAACTCACCTGGAG